CAAACACATTGAGGGTGTATGAGACTATCAGCCCCCAGCTGTCGATGTGTCGTGGTCCCCCGCCCAAAACTGCACGGGTCAGAGTACGGGACCGTGGGAAAGTCGTAATTCCTTGCTACGCCCCCGTTTTTGCAAACTCACGTTTTACTACTGTACTTGTATTCCAGGGCCGGATTACAGGACTTGGCAAGGGGCCAAGAGAGCTGCGCGCGACCGCGCCGCATGGACGGTGTTAGTAAAAACGTGAGTTTGCAAAAACGGGCGGCGTAGCAAGGAATTACGACTTTCCCACGGTCCCGTACTCTGACCCCGTGCAGTTTTGGGCGGGGGGCGGGGGGGAGACCGCGGCACAATGTCTCATGCACCCTCATGTGTTGAGCGTACCATGTGTCTTTAAGTTCGAGTGACCTGAAGAAGGGCTTATGCCCGAGACGTTGTCACGTAATAAAAATTCAATGAAAAGAAGAGCTTCGCCGTTCTATCCTCTAATACTTCAGTTGGTCCTGCAGAATAGGCTTGACGCATAATTTCTTCCAGGGCTGAGACAAAACGTCGAGAAACCATCTTGTCAAGATATTTTTTTATTTTATTTTCTAACGAATGTCCATCAATACCCCCAAATCCGGAAGAAATCGCACAACAATTTGGGTCACTTTGAAATGCTTTGCAATGTGCAGAAGTGTACGGTTGCAGGTCCCACAACGAAACTAAGTACCTTTTGTTTTTGAAAAATCCCACCCTACACCTAATGGCTTATTAACCTGGATGCTTCCTCAGTGAGAATCATTTTCGTTTTCATCATTACCATTACTGGCGCATTGGTCTAAAGTAGTGACACATCAGGCCTTTCTGAGTTAACATTGCTCAAGTCATCTTCTGCAATTGATCACACCATGGCCGCAACTTCTTCCGCAATTCATCGATCATTGGCGCAGCTGCTCATGTTGTGTCCATCACAGAATTGTTCCCCGATGACTAAGATCATGGAAAATGGAAATACTGTCGAATAAAACGACTATCACACCGATGGCCATCTCATGGGCGCTTTTGCCTCCAGAGCCGTAACCGGTTCTTCACAAAAGTCATTGGAGATTGCGTCCAACTCACTACTTCCCAAATTTGAATTGTTACCATCTTGAAACTTCTTAATAAGATGTCACTGTTTCTATTAAGGAGGCGACTAGTGTGGGCGGGCCCTCGATTCACTAACCCAGCGAAATTGTAAATTTGACCTTTTCTTAAAGAAATAGTTTACCTGTGGAACCCACTTTGTTGCACACTAGCTAGCGTATATCTCAGTAGCCGACTTGACAACATGTTTGTTTTGACAAGACGTTCCAGCATATTCCTGATATCTGTTTTGGACCCCGACTGCTGCTTCTTAGAGCTGGTTGTTGCCAGCGAAGTTCACTAGATCACGATCCATTCTTCATGTGTCGCTGCTGCGGGGCCATCTGGGAACACTTGTCCCCATGTTTCCGAAGCGCCTCCCATTTCTCTTCACTGTCCGCTTTAAACAGCCCTCATAAAGCTTCCTGTATGCTTTACCATTCTCACTAAGTTTTAAGGTGCCTTTTCACGGCCAATGTGAGATTTTTCCATTGTTTTGCAGTGTTTGCGAGTATTTTGTCGCAGTTGTGCGCATCCTTAAAAGTTTCGCCTTTAACACTGAGAACACATGAATGCCTCAGATGACGCATTTCAATGCCCTACGAAATTCGGGAGAAAGAAGAATTCAGCGGTGGTGCACATGCCGAGCGGTACCGTGCGGCGACGAAGGTCCGAATGTGGACAGGCGCTGCCATCACTGTGATTTGATAGACTAGCTCTTTGTCAGCTCATGTTTGCCTTCAGCTGGTAGCGCCCGAACGCACAGTGGTAAATACAATCGGTAATCACAGTAGCATTAGCATATCTCTGAAAAATGTCTTCCCTGATTTTCAAATGTGCTTCTCAGTTACGTTTTGCCTTTTCCCTTGTCTCCCTGTTTTTACCATTCATCGGCAAAGCGCCAGTAAGTTCAGTGCCTTTGGGCTGCAGTGGTACAGCGCTGACTCTTGTTCCCTTTTCGGCGCGTCATCGCTCCGACGAGAGCAAATACGTTCGGGTCGCCGCGGAGTTTTACCGTGGAGCCACGAAATTTAGGCATTATGGGATCGTTGTATTTCTCTTATGTTTGAAGACGGGATCGAAAAAAAAAACATTAGGTGCAGAGATTCTACTATTCCAGATGCATAGTGTCACTCGGGCTCGCCGGCGCATCCTGTGATACGGCGCGGCTTCGCCGGGCGGGCGTGCTTTTGTCGCGCGTGCCTTCTTCCTTGTTTTTTTACTAAACTAATGCTCCGCTTTTCTTTTGTCTGTATACATGGTCAACGCTCCTTAACACGTTGGCGACATTGCGTCCCACTGCTGGGACGCACCTTTTTTGCCGCGTGGGACATTGCGTCCCACTGCTGGGATGCGGCATGTGTAAAAGACCAATTTGAATACGTTTCAAAATTTTTAACAGCTACATATTATAGAGGAAGGCATTGTATAATATGCAGTAGGTGTAAACAATGCAGTTGTGTCATTGAGAGTATTTTACCAAGGAGTCAAACGAAAGTGATTTCCTTAGGAAAAAAAGCAATTTTTGTATTTATAGAACTGGAGCTCCACAAGCAGATAGCTAATGGGATAAAGTAACTTTCAACAATAGCAGATCTGGAATCGAATCCGATTTACCACCTCTGCCGCGAAATTATTCCTTTTTTGCGACCCTATTTCCACGTCCCACGTGAATGAGGCGGGAGAATTCTATGGAAATTTCGGGTTTATCTTGGAAGTAATGGAAAGTAGCGAAGTTTTACTAGCTTCTGCAATGAATTCTTATCATTCTTCAATTGTTTTGGTGCATAAAAGCCCTAGCATTTATGCGCACTCGTCAAAAATAGGGAAAAACTGCTTTGTCCCACGCGGCAGACACGCGAAAAAGGGCGCTGTCGCCAATGTGTTAAACAATGGGATCACACTTGTCACACTTGCTTCTTCCACACAATTACCTTCTATGGAATGGAGGTAAGGAGCGCTGATCAAGTGCACATATGATAGAAAAGCTGGGTATTAGTTGGGTATTTATACATACGAAACACAATCGCCCGGCGAAGCTGAGCCGTATCATAGGTGGAGGCACACTGGCGTTATCCGGCAGCCGACTGGCATCAAATACACCTGTGACGACCGGTGTGTAAGGGTGTTTCTACCAATGCACTGAAACTCGGTAAAATATAAGTACTTAGTGCTTGAGGGCATGCTCCGCCCACCGTTAGTGGGTCTCAGCCTTCTTGATGACCTCACTCCACTTTTTCCCCGATGCCTATGCTGCTCTGCAACCGATTCTGAATTTTTGTTTTCTTCCCCTCACCCCCCCCCCTCTCCCCATAGTCGAATGCTCGTCCGCAATGGGCGTCTCCCATTTCAGTAGCCAATCTTATTATTCATTTTTTACGACCAATGGGGTGCTCTGGAAGTGAATCACGAATTTTGAGCTTTGGTTCCGCCCAACTCTGTGCCCGCACTGCCCGCTCAGTGTTGCCTCTTCCACTTATTCCACCATCAACTGCTCACTTGAAGCCTTTTAGCCCAGGATTACGGATTTTGGATTTGGCTCTGCCCACCTCGACGCAGGCTCCGTAAACATGGCGGGTGTCCCGCACTTCTCAACCGATGACCCCTCGCTGACCTCAGTCCACTTTTTTTTCCGATGTCTGGAGTGCTCTGGAATCGTTCTACAGGGTTTATCTGGCGCGGCCCTACCCACAATTTATGTGCCCCGCACTTCTCAATGGCAGCCCCCTCGCTGGCCTTAATCGACTTCTTTTTCGGTGTGTGGAGTGCTCTGGGACCAGAGCATTAGTTATCTTGCAACTAGGCTCCCGCGCTCATTACCGACATGCTACGGTCGATGAGACCTGATAGAGCGACAACGGTTTGAACCGAACTCTCCACAAGTGTTTGCCATTTCTTTGTACAGATATGACGCTATGGCCGGAACGCTGGAGCACCGATGTTTTCCTATGGCAGTAAGAGAGAAGTGGAATTTCCTTCTCACTCATTAGTGCAAGGCATAATATTAATCAAGCGCGTCGTATTGGTTTGCCTCTAGCGCATTGAGTTCTGTTTAATATCGTAGAGGGATCAAATGAGCACTGGAAAAGTATTCCAATGCGACTCTGTCAAAACAAATCGACTTCAGCGAAAGAATGGTAAGTCGATGTAGCCTAATTCAGAAATCTTTCGTTTCCGAAGTCCTTTGTATGTCTGCACTTCTAATTTATTGTTAAGGGGGTTCGGCGGAGGCTCCTCCACACATCAAGGCTTACGATGCTGCGTTGACGGATGTCATCGAAAAATGGGCAGCCCTATCAGACGAGCTGGGAGGTGACGTCAAGATCATGGTGCGTTAACGAAAGATATGAAATTTGTTAGCAAAACTAGAAACTGTAATACATTACAGCGAGAGAAAGTCACTAATGTGTTCAATCTACTGAAACTGTTTCTGTGGACAGCTGCTGGCCAAGCCGAGCCATCGGCTGATGAGGTTCAGAAACTGTTCTCGCCTATCTTTAATCTTCTTTCGGAAATAAACAGCTTCAAGGTGATCTTTTACAACATGTAGTTTTTTTTTGAGGGCTTCGAAGTTTTGAGACTAGTTTCAAAAGTGTCTGTGCTCAGGATTCTCGAAGGCAAGCTCCACAATTCAACCACTTATCTGCGGTCGCGGAGGGAATTCCTGCCGTTGGATGGGTTTTTGTAGTACGTTCTAATAACCGTTTGATTAGTCACACTGTAACATTATGGATTATGGAAATATTTAGAAAAAAACTCCTGCTCCTTATGTCAAAGAGATGCTCGACTCTTCTATGTTCTATATCAACCGCGTTCTGAAAGAGTTTAAGGTAACACAATTCACATTTTTCGATGTCATGTCATTGTACGTCGCAGTAGCTTACACGTGTAGCCGTGAATACAAAAGCGTGAAAGAGAAGTTAGGTCCAATGCGAGGGTTGCGGGCGAAAATTTCCTCACATGGTTTTCATGCATAGCTCTTTTCTCATTTAATTCGGTTCGAATTTCGACATGATGGATCTCTCAGTGTTGCTAATAAACTGCTGGAAAAACGAATGACTGTCTTTTTAGTGAAATGAAAGGAAATGGAGACCTCTTCAAACACAAAAAAAGCTTTCACGGATATGATAGTAATTCACACGGAGAATGGGACCATTCTGGGGGTTTTGAAGGTTGCGCTGCTCTAAAGGCGATCTGAACGCCGCTTGCTAGACGCCGCAAACAAATTCACTGCGTTATTGGAGAGCGGACTGCTGGAACAAGGCTGTGTGGCAAGAGCAAACGGAAGGAGTCCGACTAAAGATAGCTCACCGGTATAGAGAACCGAAAGACGAAAGTATAGGTTGCTCTCCTCCACTTTCCTGACGATGAGCGTCCAAAAACACGTCCTGTGACCTCTGTCGCATTACAGATGGCCATTTCGACCATCCGTAGTGAGAGAATAGGAGGGGTTCCGGTAGCGTGGCGGACAACGCTTTCATCCAAAAACCGTGAGATGCGGGTGGTTCGCACCTGGGGTCAAGACTTCTGCACATAGCTCAATGTTATCGTTCGTGACACCGTTCGGAGCACGAGCTGCTAAGCAGCACTAGTCATAGTAACACAAGCTCTGAATCAAGCACACTGTCTTTTGAAGCATGAAATTATGTGTCAAATCACACCTAAGCCACCGGCAAAACGCTTCATATTTTCCTCAAAAATTCACTTTGAAAAAAATACAGTTGTTAGGAAAACCAGCAACCCTATAATTACCATTTCTCAACAGGATGGCGATCGAAAGAATGTAGAATGGGCCTGGTCATGGAAAAGCCTCCTGGAGGCTATGCAAACATTCGTTCGGCAGGTTCACACCACTGGTCTCGTTTGGAATAGTGCACCTGTAAGTTGCAGTGAATTCGTTATTTCATGTCTTCAGCTCCGTGAGTCCTGGTTTCTATGTTCGAGATCAATGGGTCTGCTCAAACGCCACTTTTTTCGGTGGAGAGGTCGCAGACACATGTCTAATCATTGCCTTGTCTGTACCCTTTCACTTCTTTCTTTTGTCTACCTGAGTGCATGTTTCGCTGTGGATACAAGTACTCCACATTGAGCATCGCGCGGGCAGAGTATAAAGACGGCACATGCTGTCCCTCGGCCTCGTTCCCGTGATATTTGAGCGGAGAAAGTGGTATGCTACTCAGCTGCGGACCCATTCACCTCACACATGGGAGAAACCGTTCTCATAAGTGAGTGAACAATTTGTCTTCAAAGTATGTATAGTTATCGCACGTTAGTTTGTAATCATCTACGGATGCTTTATTTGCGTGCTTCAATGTTACGTAAGTCGAAATTGAAGTTTAAATTTGACAACCGATTTCAGGGCGGTGCAGCTTGTAGGTAACTTTAAGGAACATAACCGATAATTTTTGCACAGAAAGTTTCCAACTTCGCTGTACCTTTTCCCAACAGAAATCTTTGACTTTCAGGGTTACTCACCGCCGAGTAGCAGTCGCATGACAGTGAATCGCAGTGCTGCTGGGAACCCAGCACCGCCTCCTCCACCACCACCTCCTCCTTCGTGTTCGTTATTTTCTCAGCATTATCGAGGAATGTTTCCCATGTTTTCTTTGCACGTTGAGATCTTTTGGCGTTACAGTGTTCGCTGCTCCTACAACGGTCGACGCTGACAAGGGTGGTAGAGATGCCCTCTTCGCTGAGATCAACAAGGGTGAAGCTATCACGGCAGGACTTAGAAGGGTCACCGCCGATATGCAGACCCATAAAAATCCTGCCTTACGTGAGCATGTTAGTATTCTTGTTTCTTATTCGCTTAGTCGCGTTTGGAATTGCATTGCACTTCGCACTGTAGTTCTTCCTTCATGTAGCCACATGTAATCGAAACCTATGGAAAATCGTGACGAATATATGTTTCTTAACGCACGCTTTTTCCTGCCAGTTGCTGTGATGAATCTTCATGCTGTTCTCAAAATTTCGGAACACGAGAAGTCGACTTTCTGCAACAATAACTAAGATGCGTTTGGGTTAATACGTGAGCTCG